CACACACACACACACACACACACAAATACACACTCACAAACAGCATAAAAAGCACAGACCAAAAGAAGAAGGAGGCAGTTTTTGTCGTTGTAAAGGCAACAGCACAAATATGCGTGTACAGAACAGAAAACAGAAAAAAACTAAATGTTTGGGAAAATTGAAAACGGGTGATTAGAAAGCAGACTGGGGAAAGAGAATTGGGGGAGGTTGGGGGGGGGGGAGAGTGGGAGGAAAACTGTCAGTCAAATAAACAGACAATAAATAGTAGTACAGAGCGGATAACTTAATCAAGGTTGATAATTTAGTCCGGATGATAGCTTGTGGCTGCTTCAGCGTGTTTTTATGCAGATATTATACATAATTCAACCATTGATTTTAAAGGCACACTGTACAACGCACTCGGAATGCAAAATCGACACAGCAGAGTATTCGGAACGTGATAGACTTTCTTGTCAATTTTTAATATTCTGTTGTAATGTGTGTTTGGGTCCTAGTATGCTTTATAAAAAAAAAAGGGTTTTATTAGACAATGTACTTGTATTGACCGTTATTGTACATGATATTATGCTAATGCTAACCCGCCCAGTGATCAAAATTAAATAATAATACATCGTTAGATGGTTAAGTGTGTTTTTTTTTTAAATTTAGACCAGAGGAAAGGGAGTGGTAATGTTTTGAGGGTAGTTTCAGGGTGTTTTTATGCTGTTTTTTGTTAGTTTTTGTTTTGTTTGTTTGATTGTTTGCTTGTTTTATTTGCTTGCCTTTTTTGTTTTTGGTTTATAGTTGTTGCATTTTCAAATATATTAAAAATCATTATTCCTTTTGCACGCATGTCATTGTGTGTGGGTGGGTGGGTGGGTGGGGCTCTGTCCAGACATTGGGGATATTAAATGTTTTTGAAAAGTATAATTCTCTCTCTTTTTTCCTTCTCAACAGGAACAGTAATGCCTGGAATTTCTTGAAGCATTCTTACAAAGCTGAATGCCAAAACACTTTGAAATGTTCTAAATGGAGGCCTACTAGTGGGACAGTCAGTTACAATTCAACAGTACAATAATCATAAGAATCAAAGACTTCTAGTGTATAGACGATGACAATGAAAGACAGATACTGCAGAAGTACAAAATACACCCCCACAACTGGAACAAATATAAGACAGTATCACGTACGGACAAATCACCTCAGGCAACTTCAAGCCTTGCACGAGCCTTCAAGTGAGTCAACCGATGGTTGTTTTGGTATAAATGTAGTGTTGAACGGGAATGAGAAACAATCCCCAAAGATAAGCATACCCATATTGCACAGATCCCTTGTATCGCCCCAGATATCAGATGTACTTCCAAGACTCAAACCATGTGATTGTGTAAATGACATTAAAACTGACAGTTATGAGCTTCCAAGACACAAACTTTGTGATTGTGTAAATGTCACTAAATATGACTGTCAGTCTCACAAAGGCAAACACATCATTAGAGCAAAAACAGCATCAAGAAAACAATGTCAAAATAGCGATGAGGCACGGCCAATAAAGCGTCGCCGTCACTTGCAGAGATATTCACAGACAGAGACTCCGAACTATGTCCAGTCAAAATGGCATAGACATGAGCTTCATGGTTTTGAACCTCAACAAAACTGGTCATGTAAAAACAGTGATCCAATTCTACCACCGGACAGACACCATGAGCATCAAAGGGAAGGATGGAGGCAACAGTACTCCGAACCCAATGATGTCTGTTTTTGTCAAATACCCAAACCTGAAGAAGTTCAAGGTCAAGATGATGATAACTTTCCTATTCTTGGCACCTGCGAAGACTATGCAATGGAAACGTCTTTCAACAGTGCACCTCCAACAGACTTTTCCGGAAGAGAGGCGTCCACGGATTCTATTGTAGTGAATCAAGAAGAAGACTATGACTGTAATGTTTACTTTTGCTATATTGGCAAGGTAGCCTGGTGGCTATTTGTCATATTCTTTTACATCTTTGCCTTTTTTGCTGTGCTCTGGTTCATGAACATAAATTGCATGGCCTATAAGACAGTGATCTGCGCTGATACAGTATTGGTATTAATCCTTTTATTTAATCTACAAGACTATTTCATACAGCTGTACAGATCTTTTGAGAGCTGACAAAATCCATCAGCCTTTTCCAGAATCATCTGATTTCGTCATGATCCAAAATTAAATGGCCATTAGCCTTCATTTTCCACAAAACAGAAGAAAAAAAATTAGCATATTATTTATAAGGCATATGTTGACAAAATGAGACTTTTACCGTAATCCATGAAAGGATATTAGTCAAAAATCAATATAAGGGTCAAATTGGTAGATGTACAATTGATACAGATTTCTTGAAGTATGACTTGTCTATAATTGTATAATGCGAATTAATTGTACAAACTCCAAAGATAAATTTAGCATTTATTTCCATAGGGTTAAAGTCTGAGAAGTACCGTAACTCATTTCATCAGTGCACCTTACATTTTTTTAAAATTGAGGGTCCTTCTAGTGATACAGAGTGAATGTACACAAAGATAAAAGCATCTACACTAGGGCTGGATTCTGCTCGGTTAATCGAAGGCTTGCAAAGCAGCGGATGTCTTGCGCTAGAGGCTTGCGAGCAGGCTTGTGGTTTGATTTGCTTCCCGCTTGCTACCGGAGGGAACTTCCGGTGAGTTGTGACTCGCGGACAGTCCTACTGTACTGTGTCGTGACGTCGCGAACTCTCGTGGCAGTGGGCTCAGTACATATTACAGAAGATTTTCTGGTTATTTGCGTTGAGAGGCTTGCACTAAAAGTGCAAGATCGGTTGGGTTTTTTTCATAGTTCGGTTGTAAAAAACAAAAAGCTCTATTCAATGCACTTAAAAATTAATATTGGATCGGCTATTCTTATGATGTTAAGGCCTGTTTATTTTTAATGTGCACGAGTCAAGCGCTTCATCGTCGCACGCAAAAGACCTCAGTTCAATTCCTGTATGGGGAGAAATTTTTACTGAGAACCTCCGTCTTTCTGCTGGGGCGTTGTTCCCTCTCAGCCCAGGTTGACCCTGACATTGGGTTGAAGTAGGCCTAGCCCGTCTCCTAAATGTTCTGTATTATGTCACTGTGAGTGTAACACATCTACAAAATAGGTTACATACATACGATACAAAAGCCAATCACAACGACCCCTGGAGTTTTTCATTTTAGGGTAATCTAAGTCAACTTATTCTTATTACTGCCAGAAACCTAGGTCTCTGTTACTGCAATACCACGCTCCCTCTCACTTATCCATTCGCTTAGCTGATCAACGGCGGGAAGTTAAAAATAACTTCAGCTCTCTACGCCTTGCACCAAAACAAGCCCAGCCTCTCCCTTCCTCCACGGTTCAAAGTTCACACAGCGAGCAGTACTTGCTGTTTGAACACATCGGACTGTCTTGTTGCCATCGAGACGGTCCTACACCATCAAGCGCGTGCCGCTCGCTCGGTGTATCGAGACAGTACAAGTCAGCAGGTCAGGTTTCGAGCTTTTCCTGGGGCAAATCTCTAGGCCTAGCACAAATCAGTACTGTGTGAATTGTGGGGCCTGTGGCTGCGGACGGGACTTGAGGCTTACGCAAGCCTTCGATTAATCGAGTAAACTACAGCGCCACGCCGCGCAGTGACTCTGTGGGCGAGATCTCTCACTCTCCCCCTCTCTCTTTTTCTGACGTAAGTGGCTTCGCGGATTGCAAGCAGGGTGGGGATGATGAAGGGGCCTGACACGAGTGGCTTCGCGGATTGCTAGTTGCTGTGGACTTGAAGTTTAGACTAGACCAAGGAGTTTACAGTTTGCGCTAGACTCAACTTATCATGCTGGTGATTTGATTTGATGATTTGACCTAGTGATTTGAGGCTTGTGACTTGAACTAGGGGTTTGCTACCGGGGTACAGCCCTAATCTACACAGATTATCAGAATACTTCACATTTTGGTCTTTGATTATTTCATGTTTGCCTATGATATTACTCAATTCAAGGCACAAAAACCCACAATCTCTAAATGTATACAACAAAAGCATTGTGAAAAGAAGTATAAAAAATTATTAAATACCATATCCAAAATGTTCTCATTTAAAAAAAGAATGAGGATTCTCACCTGTTGCTGTTTTTTCTGAACTTGAATTTGTCTGTGCGCACACATTTCCATACGTTGTTTGAATTCATACCGCTTGGCTTCCAGTTGCGCATTGACCTTGTCAACTTCCACTTCTTTCTTGAGAAGCAAGGTTTTCTGGAGAGTGTTGATACCTGTCTCAATGAGCTTATCTCCAGATTCCTTAACCACGGGAAAGGCTGTGATGTCATCCTCGTCATCACTGCAAGGATGTGAAGTGTACAAGAATTTTTTTAAAAGGTTACTCAGTACACAAAAGAGATGCCTAAAAAAATTATGAAAAGCTTAAGAACCTCAATGATCTGTTGACACAATAAGTAGCTTATAGTCTCTCAATCTTGATTCATTTTCTTGTTATGAAAATTCTCAAAATCAATGTAGGTTCACACAATGCATTCATGGGACTTGTTGCCTTTTTCCTATTTGTTGGGGATACCATTTACTATGTAAAAAAAAGGTACCCACGGGGGAACTCTACACACTCTTTTCAACTCCCACCCCTCTCCAACAATTAAGCCCCAATAAACCCCTTGATGGTGGTAGGGTTAATTTAGGAAGGTTTCTTCGATCAAGGGTTATTGTTCCATTTCATGAAGAGACAGCTACAAGATTAAGAAACATTTAAACAATTCTGTGAAAAATGTTGTCAGATTGATAGCTTACAATAGAACAGACTCACAATAAATTGGAAGTGTTAAACAATTGATTACCAGACATCCCTTATGTCTGCCTCTAGTCTTTTAACTCAATATACTTTTTAAACACATTACATAACTCATCCAGATATAGATCGACCACCCAGTACTTCATGAAATCTGTGGATGAATTGTGAAATAAATTGTGGGCGTACGGTTACAACTTTTTAATTGGATGCATAACTTCACATGATAGACCTACAAGTACAATATTATAGTATCTATTTCAGGCCTACAGGCAAGTAGGCCTATATACACTACTTTAATTACAGCTGCATGTGAATTGAAAAACTCGTTGAAATTTTCTAAAACGGCCACCCATTGTCAAAGAAAAAGAGGCGATCTTCAACAGGTGACTGTCTTACACAGTATTTATTATAATGTAAAAAAGAAAAAAAACAAACACTTGGCGGCGGGGAGAAAGTTGCCACTTGTACAGGTGATTGTCTTATAGTCCCTTCTATAGGCCTACATGAGATGGCCGTTGGAGCAAGTTAACTTTACAGTGTTTAAATATTCTTTCTCACATTCTAAAGAACTGACAAAAGGGCAAAAAAAGGTAATAACAGTTACAAAAACTTGTCAACACCTAGATCTATCCGCTTAACTTTCTGTTTCTGTCTAGGGCGGCTACTTCCCCAAATCAGTCTAGACTCCCCAAATCAATCAGCATTGATCTATTTAGTTACAGAAGAAAAAAATAACACTAGATTAAATTAGATATACAAGCAAAGCTGATAAGATACAAATTAGTGTGAGTGTAAGCACTCGTTTATTTTGTTGACACTCGATTGATTGATCGCACGAGTAAGCGAGAGTAACTTCATGCTCAGTAGTTCCTAATGCACACATCCCAGAGAAACTCTCATGAAAAATGCATGCTCACCGTTCATGCAATTGCGTGACGAAGACATTTCGCTTCTGGTTGTCGAAATCCAGCTTATACGGAGCTTGGGCAGCCATCCTTTCTGAATTATTTACTATCCCTCGCGACTGGTGTTGCGATCAATGATATTCCGCCATGTCTAAACAAGCATATGCAAATTAGGGCACCTTGGAGATGGTCACGTGATTAGGACCTTACCTGAACTTTTCCAAAGAATGAGGAAGTCGTTTTGACACTTTTTTTCTCGATATTATATTATTATAATATTATTATTGTTAGTAGTAGTAGTAGTAGTAGTAGTAGTAGTAGTAGTAGTAGTAGTAGTAGTAGTAGTAGTAGTAGTAGTAGTAGTAGTAGTAGTTATAGTAGTAGCAGCAGCAGTAGAGTAGATTCAACTAGTAGTAGTACTAGCAGCAGCAGTAGGAGCAGTAGTAATAGTAGTAGTAGTAATATTATTATTATTATTATTATTATTATTATTATTATTATTATCATTATTATTATTATTATTATTATTATTATTATTATTATTATTATTATTATTAATATTATTAGTATCAGTACACGTATTAGTCGGCCTATTTCGAGAACGAGGAAGAAGAAAAAGAAGTCGGCCTATCATTATTATTAGTAGGATCTTTTTTTCTAGTATAAAAAAATATTATTATTATTATTATTATTATTATTATTATTATTATTATTATTATTATTATTATTATCAGTACTATTATTTATATTGTTATTGCAATTATATATGGCCTCAATTTTATGTATATTGAAGGATCATTATTTTGATAGCTATTATCAATATATTACTTCATAATTATTAGGCCTCTTATTATAATAGGCCTATAATTATAATAATAATAATAATTATTATTATTATTATTATTATTATTATTATTATTATCATTATTATTATTATTATTATTATTATTATTATTATTATTATTATTATTATTATTATTAATAATATTATTAGTATCAGTACACGTATTAGTCGGCCTATTTCGAGAACGAGGAAGAAGAAAAAGAAGTCGGCCTATCATTATTATTAGTAGGATCTTTTTTTCTAGTATAAAAAAATATTATTATTATTATTATTATTATTATTATTATTATTATTATTATTATTATTATTATTATTATTATCAGTACTATTATTTATATTGTTATTGCAATTATATATGGCCTCAATTTTATGTATATTGAAGGATCATTATTTTGATAGCTATTATCAATATATTACTTCATAATTATTAAGCCTGCTTATTATAATAGGCCTATAATTATAATAATAATAATTATTATTATTATTATTATTATTATTATTATTATTATTATTATTGTTATTATTATTATTATTATCATTGTTGTTGTTGTTGTTGTTTTAATTATTAAGGATATAGCCAAATATTAGGTAAATTATAAAAAAAGATTTGAAGTTACAACAGTCGGAGTTTCTGCTGCTGGGTTTAGGCTGCGCTTTAGCTTACTTTTACTAGGACCACAGAATTCTACTCATGTGTGTGTCTGTGTGTGTGTACTCATGTGTGTATGTGTTTTGTTTTGTTTTGGTAAGTGTTTTTACTGCGCTCGCAACTGCATAGGTCATAAGAGCGCGCGGGACACACCTAATACTTTTAGTTGGTAGGAAATTTTGAATTTTATCCGGGTGGCGGCCGAAGCCTACTCTTATCGATTTTAGACCACCAAGGGATCTTTAACGTGCGCAACTTGCACACGTGACCTCCGAGATTTTTCAACCTTGTCCGAGAAGGCTAGGTGTAGATCTTTCCTAACAGAAGATCAGGGGTGTGGCAGAAAGACAGCTGTAAGAAGGAGTCAAGGAGTAGCAGTAGAAAGGCTGCAGAAAGAGTAGGGAGCCCAGAGGAGGGGGCAAAGGAGGTGAGGGGGTGGGGGCAGAAAGAGGAGACGAAAGCAGACGACAGAATATTGCTAAAGAGCAGGAAAGGAGGTGAAAGTAGACAATTTTAGAGAAGAATTTTTTTCGGTCGCTACCCGGATTTGAACCCGGGACCTTTGAATGAGAGGCCAACACCTTAACCTCTAGGCCACGAGAGCCCCCTTGTGTGTGTGAGTGTGTGTGTGTGTGTGTGTGTGTGTGTGTGTGTGTGTGTGTGTGTGTGTTTGTATTCATGTGTGTGTCTGTGTGTGTGTACTCATGTGTGTGTCTGTGTGTGTGTACTCATGTGTCTGTTTCTGTGTACTCATGTGTGTGTCTGTGTGTGTGTGTACTCATGTGTGTGTCTGTGTGTGTGTGTACTCATGTGTGTGTCTAAGTGTAGAATGCTGTGACTAGGACATACAATGAAAATACTGTTTCATGGAACTATGAGAAAAAAGGTCTAGATAGCAAGAGATCAGCAGTCCTGAAGGGCTTAAAGATTCCACAGTAGAGGTTTTTGCTGCGTTTATGCCCCACAATAGTTATTGTTATTTTTGGCCTGATATGACGTCATGCTGGTGTTCACGTTCCTATCGCACTGGTTTGCCCGTAAGCTAAAGGGACATGATACATTTGTAAAAGGTATGATGTAGATTTGTTTCTGTTACCTCCCTTTGACCGTAAAGCCGATTAATATATTAATAATCAACCTCATTACAGAGCATTCATTTCTCATCGCACCTGCACCACCCTCTCTCCCTCTACCACCCCCCCTCTCTCTCTCTCTCTCTCTCTCTCTCTCTCTCTCTCTCTCTCTCTCTTACTCTCAGTGCTCCTTTGAGTCCAGAATCTGGATGTGGACCGCTACAGGGTGACCACTTGTAGGCCTATGTTTTTCTGTTTTCTTTTTTCTGTTATTTCTGTTCCTGTGTGTATAGCTACTTCCCATAATTCCCATACTACTAGTCACAATGGCGTCTAAAATATTCAATCAGCGATATCCAGAAAGAACCACAACTACAACAAAAGCAGAAATAGCTCAAGCAAAACGTTAGCAACATCACGAACAAAAGACGATAAAATGTGGAGGTGTTATGCAATATTTTTTGCCCCCTGTCTGATATAGTTTCTGTCCCATACCAAGGGTAATGTAACAACCGACGTAATAATGTACTAAAGAGATTTGGATAATAAGGGAATAAAATAAAGTCATTATTCTCCGATCAAACCTAAGCTTGGCTACTTCAAAGTTGCTTTGAAATTGCCAACCCAGGTTATGAAACAAAAATCGTTTAATTTGCTGTTCGTTACAATCTAGCATTCAGAACTGTTTATAGATCATATCTAACGATCACAGTGTAACGACCGAAATGTAAAAGTTTATAAACAAAGTTGATTTACAAAGAAATAAGGTAGTAACATATTTTCAGATAGCAGGTTTGACTAGGTTCTAGTCAGCACAAAACAGCCTGCTCATTTTCAAGACCCAAGCCAGACAACAAAATTGTTTGTTTGTTGTTAGTTACAAATGCACATGCACAAAGGTATATCGATTATGTCCCATACTGAGCATATATCAACCGACACGAAAATGAAGTACCATTTCGGCGTATAACTAACGCTGGTCCAGGCATAATTCTAACAGTCTTTGCTATAAAAGACAAGAGCATTATTTAGGTCCCATACCTATAATGATGTACTTGTTCTACCTACATGTACTTTCCAAAGTAAATTTTTTTCCTGCTCATGGGTCTGCATGTTCAATACAATCGTGTAATTGTAACGAGAAGGATGACACGGGCACGCTTTTATGTTTATAAAGGATATGAAATGTCTAGTTAAGCCTCCATTAGGAAAGAGGTGCTTTTCTCATGGTCTACTAAGTCCTTGGACATAGGAATGTATTTGTTTGTTTGTTTGTTTGTTTGTTTGGCCCATTGGTTGGTTGGTTGGTTGGCCGGCTGGTTGATTGGTTAGTTGGTTATTGTTGTTGTAGTTTTTTGGTGTGTTTTTTTTTCTTCAAATCAAAGTTGCGAGTTCGATTACTATCACTATCACCAGGAGAAAGAAATTGCATTGTTAGAGAATTATGTACTGAAACCTATTTTCCCCCGGATTGCCCAGATGAGATGCGAGTGGTGCTTTGTGGCGAACCAACACTAGATCTATAATAATTGGTATACCCCAGGGGCGACGGTAGTACAACTAGACTACCTGCCTGTAGTGCTGTGGACCCCAAAACCGATCTGTCAGCGCCATTGTCATGCACTTTGTCTGTGCATCATTCTTAATCATGTCCACTTTTTTTTAAACAGGGCGATCAGTTAGCTCAACTGGTATTAAAAGCTCGACTACGGAGCGGATGGTCCTTGTTCGAATCCCAGACTGGGCGTTCTTGAACGAGTCGTTTTGTACCAGATTTCAAGGCTCTCGATCCATTAATTTTGACTCGCCTTATCGGAGACGGATGTTGAATTTGGAGATCACGAGTGTTGATAGAGGTTTTAAACTTTATGTATATTGGCAAAATAATAAAGAATTATAAGCAAGATCATTTGTTTTAAAACGTAGACAGACGAAAGCGAAAAAAAAAGCTATAGGTGCAGGCATTTTACCAGGAAACTGTTCAGGGGGCATTAGACAGTGATCAAAGGGGGGTGCGAGCTCAGACTCATGAACAGAGCCACACTAGAATCTATAACTTAACTGGACATGGCAGAATCAAACTGTTGGAAAACGGGGTGCAGCCTTGAATAATAGGCACAATTAAGACGTATGAACTCATTTCAGACGCCGATTTTGGTTCTTTGACAATGTTTGAAGACGTGCTGTTTTTGGGAGCACTTCGAAAAGAAACATAATTTCCATTTCGTACTGATATATTTCAACTCCGATTTCCTTATCTGAAATTTCAAAAGACGGCCAACAACATTGCATGAACGAAACATATCAATTCGAGTTTTTGATTTAGGTTTATAGGTTAGAAATGTGCCGTAACATTGCTTCTGGTCTGCTGCTGATCCGACATTGTGTCCACTGTAACCATGGCTCAATAAAGGGCATTGTATTGTGCCGATTAGAATTGAATTTCTGTTTTATGTGAGTGGATTTTTCTATCGTTAAAGCGATTTGAAAATATGTCTTTACGAGATCAGGCTTTGGTGACGTTTGCACAGAAAACTGGTGACACTTGTTTACGTATCAAGCTGTTCTCCATCGTCAAGTGAATACTGCACCT